TATGCCAAGCTCAGATGTGCTGCTCAAAGTGCCAAGGGAGCTGCTCTCTCATCTAGGAACGTCCACTCACATCCTCCAAGTTTGGCAATGGGGAGGCCCCCTTCCCCAGGATTCACCTTAACATTGCGCAGGTGTTCACTTGTTGGTGCCGCCATCACCTCGCTGGCCTCAGGGGGGCGCTACTCACCCTTTAATGCTCAGGCCCCAAAGCAAACACTCAAGACTCCAAATTGTAGCAAATCTGAGGCAGGAATACATAATCATAGCTCAGGGGNACACTCAAGACTCCAAATTGTAGCAAATCTGAGGCAGGAATACATAATCATAGCTCAGGGGTAACTAAAGGGAAATAAAGATAAAGAGAACAGCCACGTCCCCCTTTTCTGTACCACCCAGGAGTGCTGTCAAAGATTTGAGACTGCTAGAAGCCCCAGATCCAAAGTGGAAGTCGAAAAGGATACAGGAAGTCTGCCTGAAAATGGCACCCTGGGAGATATGCTGTGCTGTAGCCTGAGTTCTCTTCCAGAGAACCCACATGCTCTCTCATGTGACTGACACCAGAAATTTCTACCCTCTTCAAGGACACACCCTTGTGGCCTAAAAGGGACAACCACATCAGAACCCAGTGATCCCTGAGATGTGCACGTGGAATACACATAGCTGGGTGTGGTTCAGTAACAAGAAGCATCATAGTCATATTAAGCATCGTGGGGTGAGCCAAACTTTCTGAGCACTGGAAGTGACAGCAAGAAATACCATTTATTGGGTGTTTACTGGGTGCTATGCATTGAACTAATTAATCACTTCATATAAATTATTTGATCCTCAGGACAACACTGTGAAGTCTGTATTATCCCCTTTTTATAAGGAAACTGAGGCTCAGAGGTGTTACACAACTTTGTCCAGCACAGAAATGATGATGCTGGCATTAGAGCCCAAGACTTGAAAGTCCAGCTTCTGTGGTGTTGGGTTGACAGTTCCAATTTAAAGTAGTTGACTATGAAGAAGATGCTCTTAAACACCCTCTCCAGTCTTTGCTCCCTTGATGACCACACTTCCTTTGTGTGAGTAAAACATGCCCTTGTTTGTTGGTAAACATGGTCCTTTAGGATAAACCTTTGCACAGAGCCTAGAGTAAGTCACTGTACATATAGGCACTCCATATTATAATAATTTGGAGAATGCAGTATATTCGGAAGTTGTCTACTCGTTGATGTTATCCTGTTATCCTTTTATACTGTGGATAGTGAGGAACTGGTGATGGTTCTGAACAAGGAAATAATTAGGATTTGCATTCATCCATCAAATACCTACTGAATGCCTACAGTGTGCCTGTAGCAGATTATTCTGGTGAGTCACTAGAACGTGCATTGAAAGGTAGGGAGGCCTGAGACAGAAATACCAGTGCTTAGTCACAAGAGGATCTTCTTTCTAATGTACAGACTAGCAGGCCTTACCTGAAACCTAATCAGCCTGGCGAGAAGGCCTGGGACTCTGCGTTGGCAGTGTCTTCCCAGGTGAATTTGGGGGCCTCTTTAAGAAACAGAAGGTAGCAAAAACAAAATCAGGTACAGGGCCTTGAAAGATCGGTCCCAGCAAACCTGCCTATTTCTCCCAGTTCTATTTCCTGCGTTGCCTACCAGAATGTATACGAGAATGGAGTCATTAAACGCTTGTTAAACATCCAGTGAAATTAGTGTCCAGAGTGAAGGATGCAGGTTACTACAGAGTGAGTTAGAAATTAGCCTGTGAAGCAAAAGTTCTTTCACAGGAACCCCATAATTTGTTCTTTATTTTCTAAGAAACTTTCGTTTAAGGAATAAAATTTTTCTTGATTTGCCTCCACTGATGGGGAAATTGTTTTGATATTAATTTTAGTTTAATCTCTCGAGCCAAGGAAATAGAAATAAAAGATGCTTTCATCCCTGGCTGAAAAATGTTTGCTTTCGGGGCCGGCCTGGTGGCGCACTGCTGCAGTGCGCTGCTTGGGAGCGCGGTGGCGCTCCCGCCGAGGGTTCGGATCCCACATACAGACCGGTTCCTGCTCACTGGCTGAGCGAGGGGTGGGAGCAACACCGAGGGTTGCGATCCCGTTGCCGGTCTCTGTCCGGTGCAGGCGCGACACTGAGGGTTGCAATCCGTTGCCGGACACGAAAAAAGACAAAAAGGAAAAAAAAAAAAAGTTTGCTTTCCTGTAACTTGCCAACTGATGATTTTTGCTCTTCTATGACTTGTCGAACTTAACCTAAGTTTGTAAGCCTAACTCTGCCCTCTTAGGCAATTTGAGTGGTAGAGTCATTTTTTTTTTCTCTTAATAATAAAATGTGAAGTTAATCAGTGCTCTTAAGTCCATGTGTTGCTTTATTCCTGCATTGGTTTGAGTTTACAGAAATAATAAATAAGGTAGAACTCTTTTATTTCTCTTGATGAGTCTTCCAGCCATGCACATTTTAAAAATCTTTTATACGAAATAATGCTAATGTTGCTGATTTATTCTGCCTTAAATTAGGAAGCCCAGTCAGTAAGAACCAATGCATTAACAAGTCTACCTGGTGCTGTCACAAAACTATAGCCTTTTCAGTTAGTGGGACTCTGTAAAATATTAATGTAAAATGCTAATGCACATAAATATTTAATAAGCCAACTAATAATAAAAATAATAGCAATCCTAAGCGTGATGCAAAAATTCAGGATATTCATTGCAAAAATACAGAGCAGCAGGAGAATGCATTGTGTGACAGTTATTCTTTGTGGCCCATTGGTACGTTTTCCATGTAACTCAGAATATTAAATAAATTTTAAAAGGCTGCTTCCCTTGGGCCAACATGGTGTGTTTGGTTCTGGGAATGCAGAAAAATGAAGTTCAAAAATAGTAAAATGGACCAATGCTTCTCCTCTCTGTAGTTGAGCATGTAGGGGTCAGTGGTTCCTGGACTTTGCTCACTGTCCTGGTGAGCTGGACTTAACAGGTTTTATGGAATATCGTGTTTCTATCAGTCTTCATTCCGCGTTCTGAAAGAACTGTGAAGCTTGCAGAAAACTCAGTGTGTTCTCTGTCACTCAAGAAGTGCTTCTCTGAGAAACTTCTAGAAGGACATTTTAAAGCCAGACAGCTGTTGTTTGAATCCCAGCCCCACTACTCACTCACTGGCTGTAAGAATTGGGTTTGGGTCCCTCCAGTCCTACGCTTTCCAGCTATTGAAAAACAAAAGTTTTGCAAGTCATCATTACCAGGCTTTTCAGTCCCCAATGACCTGAGTTGCAATGAGTTAGGATTTTATTTGGGTGCTTAGATAACAACTCTCTGTCCTGGTGTAAGAATAGCAATCTCTACCTTCAGGGATTTCTGAGGTAGCAGTAATAATAACGATATATTTTAAAAATAGCAACAACTTTGCTCACAGTTATTGAACACTAGGTAGCAGGTGCCGAGCCAAAACCTTTGCAATGTGCTATCTTGTTTGATCCTCCTAGTGACCCTTTCCAGACTGTGGGCCACAGTTCATTATAGGGTTATAATATCAGCTTAGTGAGTCCTTACCAACATTAAAAGAAAAGAAAAGAACTGAATAAAAAATGTCAGAGTAAACTATAAGTAGAAGAGTTAAGAACTGTTTAGTAAAACTTTTGTTTATTATATGTGGGGTATGTGCATGTAAAATGTAATGTTTACTTTGAGTCGTGGTGGAAAATGTTTGCTAGCCAATGAGGTGGGTAGTGTTTTCATTCTTTTTCAGATGAGGAAACCAAGACTCAGAGAAGCTGAGCAAGTTGCCCAAGGTCACACAGCCAGCGTGTGGCCACGTGAGGACTTGCGCTCTGGCTGGCTGTCAGAAGTCCATGAGTATCAGCTGCCTTCACAACTTTGCCTTTTAAAAGCCATTGACAGGTCATTTAGCAAAACTGCAGTGGGCCCCCACTCACTGTGGGTGGGCCAGGGGTCGGGGGATCAGGTGCTGCCCCTGGAAGAAGCAGGACAGTTGAGGTCAGTAAGGAATGGGGCGGAGGAGCAGTGTGGGCTCTGCACGATGACAATCAGCCTGAGTGCTGTGTTTCTCGGCTCCGTTAGAAGCAGGCTGAAAGTATCTAAGAGTGACTTTCCTTTCTGAGGTGGCGAAAGAGCCACGGAGTTCCCTGGGAATGCATGTGGTGCCCGCGCCCTCGCCCCACCAGCGGGCCTCATGATATCTGTGCCCTTCAATCTGGGGGTCCCATGCTGCCATCTGGGGAGCTCTCTGATGGCCCTGTTTTGTTAGGGGCCTCCAGCAAGGGTCTTGGGTAGGTTTGTCCTGATTTAGAGAAGCTGAAATGGTGAGAACAGGGGCTGGGGGCCAGGGTGGAGGAGTAGGGGTACAGTCACATTCCTAAAGAGTTCGCCGACAGAATTCCTCTCCTTAAGGAGATGTCCCTCTCCATCTGCTTTTCCTGTTCACATCTCTGGGATGTGAAGTTTTCGCCAGGGGCTCTTGGGGCTGGCAGCAAGGTGGTGGCAGCGGAGGCCCCTCGGGAGCCCCAGCCTGTCACGGTCCCCGCAGCTTTGCCACTGCACCAGGCGCCCCAGAACGCTGGGACCAGGATGGAAAGTGGAAGGCAGAGCGACAGGGAATGGGGCGAGAGCACGCTAGCTGCCTTCAAGTCACTGGGAGCTGTAAGTGA